CGGCATGCTGGTATAATATCTATTTCTTTACAAATAAGGTCCAGAAATGATAGAAATGAGCCGAAATTTCATAATTTTTCTACCATTCTGTTAAATATTGTTTTTTTTTTTTATTCACAACTGCAATATCGTGAATTTTACTCTTCCGCAAACATGGCCTTGACTCATATAGTGCAAGAAATTTTCCCAAGAATACTTTTTACTTAGAAAAATTAGCTCATTTCACCATTCACGACACCAGCATGCTGGTACAATCATAAAATTTTCAAATAGTTTTTGAAGTCGCACCAGCGGCTGGTGGTCAATCGACTTCATGGGCTATTAAGCATATTAAAGGCCGGCCGTAAACTTATATATTTTAAACTATAGTTAAATCGTTACTAGATAAGTTAACGGCCCTAACACTTTTTTAGTATGTATGTATAAAAGCGTAAGGAACATACAATACATATATATATATACATATACATATATCAGTATTTCTTAGTTTAAAAATTCTTCTCTTACTTAAAAAAAAATTAGATCAAATTAAGCATATAGCCCTGTTTCATGCCAAGGATGAATAAATTCTCCAAAGGGCTAAAAAAAGAGCTAGGGGCAATTTTAAATTTATGTGGCCAAAAAAAAGTATGTGGGAGCTAAAGCTAGCCACCAAAGGGCTTAAACGGCAACACTGGTTACCACTATTTTTCTACAAAGTTTTAAATTTGGACTTATATGAAAATATAAATGTGTTTCAAGAAACCTATATTTATATATTTTATATACCTCAAGGATGACGTTACACACGACCCAAAGATAATATGAGGTATTTGGCAGCTTTTGTATGCACATTAGACTGCATCACCCCACATACAAAAAAAAAACGGTACTGTTTTTCCATTGGAATTATAAAATCTATTATATTTTAAGACGTCCACCGAAATATTTCCGAAAAATATTAAGATTTAAGTGAGCTGGACCGATTTGAAAATACCTCAAAAAATGGAGTTTTTTATGAATAAAAATAGTTTCTTAAAGAAGTTTTTTGAAAAAATTCCCTTAAATGACAAAACGGCTTAAGCTTAAAAAATTACATAAAAATATTAAATAAAAAAAAAATTTTACGGAATCGTAATAATGAAAAGGAGCCCAAAGTCATTTAAGACGTAACTTTTCCGTACAAGACTCTTAAGTGACTAATGCATGACATTCGCTACGGGGGAATGACTTTTTTTCGCACACAAATAAAAAGAGTGGGAAAATACCTTTCTACCGAGATCCCATAAGTCTAAATCAGAATAGTTTTGGCCCAGTTATTTAAGTTTTTCGTAAATCAATCTTCGAAAAAAGTAAAAAAACAAAAATCTCATTATTACGATTCCGTTGAAAAGATTATAAAATATTTTTATGTAGATTTTTTAAGCTTAATCTGTTTTGTCATCTGAGGGGACCTTTCTCAAAAAGTTGTTTAAGAAACTATTTTTATTCATATAAAACTCCGTTTTTGGAGGTATTTTCAAATCGGGCCAGTTCACTTAAATCTTAATATTTTTCCGAAATATTTTGGTGGACGTCTTAATATATAATACATTCTTTAATCCCGGCGGAAAAACCGCAACTTTTTTTGGTGATGCAGTCTAATGTACATATGTCGCTCCTGTGCGCCGGTTTGAGAGGCACGTGAATGTAGTTCCTGTGTAGCCTGCAAAATTTGCTAAATTGTATATAACGAAAGCGTCAGCTCCTCGGAGTCTTCAGTAACAATGTATTAAAACCCATTTTATCCAATTTTGTCAGCGTTCTCTGGATTGGCATGAATGTTTGTATGAAGGACTCGCTATCGATTTGCTAGAATGCCAAATACACTTTCGATATTTACACGAGCTTTTGATAAAGCTTTGTTAAATGCTGTTTTATCCGGAGATAAGAAATGACCAGGAAAAGGTCGCATACAATTTTTTTTATGGGAAAGGCATTATCGGCAACAAAGTAATGGGGAAAGTTCATTGAAGTATAAGGTAAAGGTCGGTCCGGTGGCATTTCCAAGGTTCCGTTTAAAATTCTTTTACCAAAGGCGGTTCTACTAAATATACCGCCATCGCTTTGAGAACCAAATGATCCAACGCTAACATAGGTGAACACATAGTTGGCATCACAAGTCGCTAATAGTGTGATGCTTAACCTTTTTTTATAATTAACATAAAGTGAGCCACTTTTTCTTGGACGGAACATATTAATATGCTTGCCATCAATTGCTCCCACTCAATTTGGCATTCCAGGTTTTATGAAAAAATCATCAGCAATTTTCCGCAGTTCTGTGGCATTTGGTGGAGAAACGTAAATAGAACCGAGCTCAACCCACAGTGTATCACATACTTCATAAATTATTTTTCGCACAGTTGAAATGCCAAGCTTATACGCCCAAGCCAGAACTTGTACATTACATCCTTGAGCCAAATACCTGTAACATAAAATTTTGGCGTGTGTTTTAACCTTGGAAAGTCATTCTTCGTCGATTCGACGAACCGACAGGGACGGCGTTCAAGGATTAAAAATCAGTAGTCATATTTTAGATGCAGTAAGACTTGCAGGTTTCAGAGAACCTGGTCCGAAGTTATAGGAACAGCGTTCTGCCATGTGTAAGACATAGCTTAAAAACACCGGGAACGTTTTCCTGTAACTTTGGACAAAAACCTGCAAACCTTACCGAATCTAGAACGCTAATATTAATACTTACAAAAGCGTTACCGATAACCGTGATTCAACTCCAATTGGGGGTCGACGAGATATTCGGTGTAATTTTTCTCTTAACATTGAAAGAAGTAAATTGTATGTTGCAACTGACATGCAAGTAGCTTTGAAAAAAACGCTCCTCATCTTGTGCTTCCAACTGTTTAGCACAAGGTTTGATAAACCCCAGCTCTTCGCGCGATATATTCAGTGGTCGTACCCACCAGCGTCGTTTTTTTCACATTTTGACCGCCTTGTATTTTGCGTGGGCTTTTTTTACACATTCGATGTGCTTTATGGCAATTATAGTAAATTTTTAAAATAGTTCTTGAAGCTCCATTTCGCGTAAAACAACGAAACAAACACAAAAATACTTTTAAACGTGGAATTTTCTTGAATATGTAGGACCAGGGACTCTTGCTAGCTTTTAAATGCCAGAAGAATTTTTCTCTCCCATTTTTATACACAAACACAAACAAATTGCAAACACAAATCTATCACTTTAACTAGCAAATGCACATGAAATTTATTAATATTTTCCGGAAATTTCTAAAAAGTGCGGCGTTTGCGTTTACGAGATTTGCAAATTTTTTCAGCGTATAGCGTCAATTCTTTTGTGGTGACAGGTGACATTTCTTTGGTTGGCATTTCGCTAACTTCAATGTAAGCCGCTCACCGCATGCCCTTTATGTATTTACAGCATATATGTATTGGCTTATAAACCGTAATTCCCAACTATCAACTGACAACAAACTTCTGCTGTACTCAACTGTCATAAAACCGCTTAGGACCTACAGTATTCAGCTGTGGGGCAGCGCAACAAACTCAAATATTGAAATACTATAAAGGTTCCTATCAAAAACTCTTCGAATGATTGTTAACGCACCTCAAATCATTACTAATGACCAACTGCATCGGGATCTTAAAATTGCCACTATCAAGGAAAAAATTAAGAAATATGCTACATCTTATAACCTGAGACTACAAAGCTGTACTAACCCACTAATAGAGGAGCTGGTATCTACCTCAATTATTTTTACCCGCCTAAAGTGGAAGTCAACAAAAGATCTTCTAAGCGCTGACCTCGTACAAGAAATGGCTGTACCAATGGGTGCATTCCATAAACGCCAATTAAAAATTAATTTATACTTTTATATGTATACTAGCAGACTCGGCGAACTTCGTCCCGCCCAAAATAAATTTTTTATAACTTTCATGAGCATGAAATGGTATTATAACTTTGGTCCGATGTTTGTAAGTACCAGAATAAGAAGAGATAGACCCATTAAAATGTACCCTTAAATGATCAAAACGTCGAGCTGAGTCGATTTAGCCATGTCCGTCTGTCGGTCTGTTTGTATGCAATCTAGTCTCTCAGTTTTCGAGATATCCGGATGAAATTTGGTAGGTGGGTGTATTTTTATAATTCATTAATCATTTGTCGGAACCGGAAGAATCGGACCACATAACATATAGCTCCTATACAACTGATTGTTCAGATATGAGACTTTTCGTTATAACTTCTCCATTTATGCAGCTGGGAACATGACATTTCGTAATATTTCCACCCGTTGTCAAACAAATACTTACAGTGAAAATGGCGAAGATTGGGTTGCTATAACCTATAGGCTCCATACAACTGATTGTTCAGTTATGAGAATTTTCGTTATAACTCCTCCATTTATGCAGCTGGGAACATGACATTTCGTAATATTTCCACCCGTTGTCAAACAAATACTTACAGTGAAAATGGCGAAGATTGGGTTGCTATAACCTATAGGCTCCATACAACTGATTGTTCAGATGCGAGATTCTTTGTTATAACTTCTCCATATATGCAGCTAGAAACATGAAATTTCGCAATATTTTCACTAATTACCAACAGAAAGTTTACAGTAAAATTAACAAAGAGCGGGTCACTGTAACCTATTTATATCCTCTATACAACTGATTGTTCAGATATGGGGTTTTATTATACAACTCCTTTGTTTGGACTGCTAAAACAGATAAATTTCGTAAGCAATTCTATAAATAATAATGCAAAGTCTACTGAGAAAATCGGCAAAATCTATGCTGTATAAGCTTTATCTCTGAACCCTCTGATTGTTCAGATCCCAGTTATTACGATATATCTCCTTTATGTAGGAGTCTAAACCCATTAAATTATGTTACCGGTTTACATAGCGATCACACAGCAGTGAAAATCATTTAGATTTGTGCTATATAAGGTATATTTTCCATACCTCTGATTGTTTAGATATGGTTTTTCATAAATATACGTATCTCCTCAATCTATGTATTCTGTAAATATATAATTTTTTTCAAATACAGTAATCTGTTAAAGTAAAATTTTTAGATGTTCATGAAAGGTATGAAGCCTTCGGCATAGCCGAAGACAGCGCTGCTCTTACTTGTTTATTGAAACTTTTTGGTCCAACATTTCACCAACAATTCCCGTTTACGATTTTCATTGGCACATTTATCTGCTAAGATTATGGTTTGGTGGTCAATTGCCGCTTTAAATTACCTAACGAAGGTGTTTTGTCCATGAAGAAGTTCTTGAAATTCTCCAATTGTGCAGCATTTCATAGCACGGTTAATCGCAAAACGAAATAAATTTGAAGAACGTTTCACTCTTCACACCCTGGCGGCAACAATGATCCGGTTCTATAGTGAATCTATCCTAGAAACCTTAAAGTACAGTTGGTGGGGATTTCAAAATGGGTGCGTATCATTGTTTTACAGAAATGCAATATATATACATATACATACTTATTTCTGACGAAATAACATAAAAGCTTAAACGCATAATAATAGATATTGGCAAATCAGATCCATTAAGTCACTAAGTCAGAGACCCACTCAAACACACACAAAAAATGTCGATTGCATATATACCAATTGACAGCATAAAGCCTATAGAATGTGTTAAAGAGATGAGTGAAAATTACTAGTATTACCTACCTGTTCATACCTGTCAACACGACAGTTAGGCCAGGAAAAAAGTGCCGTGCAGTGTTGCCACAAAAAATGTACCCAATTCCTCAAAAACCAATGAAAAATCCTCAAAATCCGAACAAATTGCTAAAAAATGTATAATAATAATTATTTACATTCTCCAATTCAGTTGGTATATTTGGTCTTGCGGTTCAAACAAAGTATCACCATTATTTTTTATGCCTTGGTTTGTATATAATATTGCTGCAACTATATCAGCGCTCAATCTGGTCCTCAAGTCAGTCCTACACATATTTAAACTACTAAATATACGTTCTACTGAAGCATTAGAAGAGGGCTATGTTAGTAATGCAGATATATTTTTTTAATTGGGAAATTTATATTAACCTGAAGAATCTTTTAATTCAAAAACTTGCTTCCTATAATTTTCTGGATCTAATGAAGAATCAATATGAATATCCTTATGATCGAACAATGCGTGTTCTCTCCATTCGCTATCGAGATTTTGCAAGTTCAAAATAAGTTGAAAATATAACGATGGAATGAAAAAAGTTATCGATAACATATTGAATATTTAGCAGAAAATGCAGATGTGCTTAAGAGCGAAAAACACCACACAAGCGGCTTGATAAACCAAGCGAAATATCCCTTTTCTTAAAGCTATTTATGTTGTGGTATGTGGGTGTTTGAAGGTTTGACATGCCGTTTAAGGAAAATGTGAACAAAATTTTTTGATTTTCTGGCCGCCATGTTGACGTTTGATCAAACGATATAATAAAATCGCCTCATTCGCAACGGAATTTTCATTGAATTGGGACGCAAGAGAGAAAAATCGAAGAAATCCAAACCCTTTTACATTGTGAACCGGAAAAAAAACTAAAATTCTTTGCTTGAACGAGTCATGTTTGCATTGTGTATAGCGCAATGGGAAAAGTAGGTTTGGAAATATGTGGTGTATTTCGCTCTTTATAAAACTTCCGAAATTTGCAGAGCGATTTAACGACTCTGTTGTGTAAAACATAGTTGCATTTGTTATCTGCAAATATATCGAGAGAAAATTCCTCAAAATAAAGATCTTCAAAAAATACTCAAGCGCACCCAAATTTCCTCTCGTTTAGAGGAATTACTCACAAAGTGGTCACACTGCATTCTATAGGCCTAATACTTTCGATTGGTATATAATTTGTTCATTAAACAAATGAGTACAAAATTAAAAAAATTATAATAATTTTTCAAAATTTAATTAAAAATATCCTGGCCAGGATTTTTCAGCCAACCCACTCGCGAAATATTTCCTAACACGTTAAATTTCATACAAAGTAGATTTCATCCATTAAACAGATGGGTGAAGCTCGTGCCTTTGTCGGATCTTAGACTAATAGAGATGTTGAGACAAATTGCTCAATGTATTACGTACAGATTGCAATAAAAAAATGGATTCAAAAAAACAAAAAAAAAACTTCCCAGGATGTACACCATATTTCAAGACAGATCGGACTGAACATAGTAGGAAAATAAACAGAGAAAACTGGTAAGTCGCTAAGGAAATATGCTCTGAGCCCTAACTCTGGTGGGCGGTGAACAATTTTAAACAACGCAAGTCGCCGGGAGCGGATGGATTATTCCCTGGCATACAACAGCAGGGCTTAGAATGCGTCACTGAAAAGCTATTAAACGTAGTTAGAAATAGAGCAGCACTGGGTTATATCGCTAGCTTAGAGTGAAAAATTGCTAAGTCCATTTTTTATGAAAACTCATATTTTGATACAGGAGGCTAGGGAAATTAAAAATGTATCGTTTCGAAAAAGATAATGGTCCTTGTTTTATGTTTTCTCGCTAATATTTAATGGAAGGAAAATTTGCTTATTTCAAAAAAAGGTTATTTCGAAAAGGCCAATTTAGTACGAAATCTTTTAATAAAGATGGAATCCCTCTGATTCGTATGGAGTTTTGCTTTGCTTTAAGCAGGCAAAATGTTGTATTAAAAGTTTTGCGAAATACTTGAAAAAAACATGGCTATGATAAAATCAGGGACCGCAAATAACGATTATCCTTTGAAATTTCAACTCAAAAAATCACGCGGAAAGAGAAATGCTACGTGCATAAGGAGTAAACCAATATATTTCTTATTACTCGGAGTACCTTCAGTGGCACTGATTTTTATTTTTTAATTTTTACTTATAAAAATCAAGTTTAATCATTATATTTTGAGTTTTATTTTTTACTCAGAAAATAATCGTTATGTTTTGAGTTTTATTTTTTGATCGGAAAATAATGGTTACGTTTTAAGTTTTATTTTTTGCTCGGAAAATAATCGTTACGTTTTAAGTTTTATTTTTTGCTCGGAAAATAATCGTTATATTATTTGCTCAGAAAATAAAACTTAATTTGTGCGTATGCGCATGCGTGAATAGACAGGGGGCGGCTGCATTGAACCTTTAACGCCACTGTGGAGTGGGTAATGAAAATACAGATACCAGGGCAGAAACAAAAAGAACCACATTTCTAAAGAAAAAGTGCAAAAAAGCGCATACGCATACGCAAAAATTAAGTTTTATTTTCTAAGCAAAAAATAAAACTCAAGAAATAACTATTATTTTCCGAGCAAAAAATAAAATTTAAACCTTAACGATTATTTTCCGTGCAAAAAATTAAACTTAAAACGTAACATTATTTTCAGAGCAAAAAATAAAACTTAAAACGTAGCCATTATTTTCCCAGCAAAAAATAAAACTCAAAACGTAACCATTATATTCCGAGCAAAAAATAAAACTTAAAACGTAACCATTATTTTCCGAGCAAAAAATAAAACTTAAGACGTAACGATTATTTTTCGAGCAAAAAATAAAACTCAGTTAATAACGACTAAAAAGTGATTTTTATAATAAAACTTATAACCGTTACAGTCCCTGGATAAAATGGCTATAAGGACTTTTCATTCTAACTAGCGATATATCAAATGCCTGGAGAAAAGCGAAGGTAGTTTTCATCCCGAAGGTCCTCGTAGCCTAGATAGATTGATAGCTCTGCACCAGAATTGTAGAATTCAAACCGCTATGAATAATATCGTTGTAGGCAGAACACGGGTTGTACATATGGTTGCCACAATTGGTACCAAAATTGGTAACTTTTAAACGGTTTGGTAACTTGGTAACTTTTATCTCATTTTGGTAACTTTTGCAACTAAACATCTATTTGCATTACTAGAAAGAAATGCGTTATGTTTTGAATGTGCGTAATTATATAAACCCTTCGAGTTTCAGTGGCAGCACTACTGACACTTCTACAAAATTACTTCGATTAAATTAGAGTCATCCCATATTCGAATACTGGAAATATTTGAATTACAGTGGCAGCACCAAGGCACTATGGGAAATTTGCGCCTATTTTGTGGCCAGAAGTCAATTTACTGACTTGCTTAAAATTATTATTTTTTTGTGTTATCTTACAGAGAATACTTCATAGTAAAAAACTGTATACCCTGTTTTTCGATAAATCGATTTACCGTTGATTTGGTAACCCTCAAACAGATACGTTTCGAAATTTTCTGTAAACGAAAAATGTGTAGCTTGATTTTGTGCCACTTTCAAATGCGTGTATCTCGTAATCTATTTGCTGCTTTTCAAAAGTGAAAAGTAGAAAGAAAGAGTGACGGTTAGCAGAATATTCACCGATTAAAACTTGTATTATAGCTTAAAGCTTGTGCCAAAGAGACGTCCGCATTTAAGTGACTTTAAAGTGAAATTGTACAATTAAAAAAAAAGTTTATTTAGTGTTTAAAAAAAATGTTTAAAAACGTTTAAGAAAACTCATCATAAATCGGTAGAATAGTCCCCGATCTCTTATTTTCCCATAATCTTATGCTGCGATTTTGTGAGAGATTAATGAAATTATAATTTTTCTTAGGTAACTACTTAGTACAAAATCATGAGTTTTATGAAATAATTCACGGTGTAATAATTTCAAAATTGGAAAAAAACATATCCGATAACAAGGAGAAAGTTTTAAGATTAAGGTCAGTGGAGGATTCGAGTCGATATTTAAAATAGAACATACGAGGCGTCTGTTTATTGTGTTGGGGTCCACTGGACCCCGTGTGACCATTTCGCTATTTTTTGGAGTTGTGACCATTTCGTGTTAATTTTTGCGAGGCAAGGCCACTACTTCTAGTCCTACTACTGGGCCAAGTTTTAAATTGATATCTCAACTTCTAGAATTTTGGCCACAAAATAGGGTAAAATTTCCCATAGTGCAAGGGCTGCACTTCTAAATGAACTTTCGAATTTTTGCGATAAATTTTGAATTCTACCCTCTCACATTTTAATACTGGCCATCTGGCAATTTTTGGTAAGGTACATAAATCGTTTTGATACTCCGGCAAAAAAAAATGTCGCGTGCTTTTTACCAGACCAACCTACCGACATGTACCGTCATATATTTCGACGTACAGTAAATTATGAAAAACCGCCACTTTTTTTTTGTGTGCCGGTGCTATTATTCCGTGAGTCGTGGGTCCAAGTATCGACAAATTATAAAAATTTTTAATTTATTAAGTGCACAGTGTCGGGCTGTATGTGAAGAAGTGAAGATTTTGATAGTGAAGATTTGGTAACTTTTCTTAAGAGATTTTCGTAGAAAAAAATGTTGGCGAGTGGCAACCATGGTTGTGCACCGGATGGACTATAGAACATTGTCGACGGACTTCTCAACTACTGCTGGAGTCAATCGCTACTTTTGAACCGCTACTGCACCGACTCCTAGGTAAGTAACTACTTTATTAACACGTGGTAGTGCACATGGTAGTCCAGAGTCGAACCAGAATAGCGAAAATAATTCGCCCATAATTCATGCAAGTGACTACTTTAGCAACTTCCGGTAGTGCAGAGAGAGCCGATGGTGACTACCGCTTATGACATTGCCTTGTAAAAGTAATCGCTGAAATAAAATCAAGTAGTCGTTCGGTAATTGACGGAGATTACCAGGTAGCTGCCGATTCATCAGTCCTGTAGTAGCACCCCCGTACTGCAAGTGAGCGGTGGTCGCGTGATTTGTAAAGCTTAAATTTAAATTTGCGTGAGCTAATCTTGCGCAGTGATGCCGCAACCCCTCACAATAGGTGTGAATATGTTTTTTTTTAAATAACTTCGATACCGCTGCAGATATCGATGTTTTTCAAAATCGTATTCTGCGTATTTTATGTCTGTCATGTTGGCGCTTATCTCTCATTGTTTAAAAAATACTTATATCACAAAATATTGTGCAAAAATATGTCTTTTTACATTTTTTGCAAAAAAAAACTCGAAACCCACAAAAGACATCGCAAGTACGCACGAGAGCTTTTTTGTAGCTGGATAAATTTCAAACATCCTAGTTACAAATATTTATTGTGTAATAAATCGTTTTAACAATATATATATAATGATCAGAAGCAGAGACGTTCCAAATACATTTTGCCCGATAGCAATATAACCAGAGAACGTATGTATATGAATGAGAAGGCGCATTTTCAGTGTGAACTAATTGTCGCCAAAAATTTTGAGTTGCGGTCGAGCAAATATACCACTCGTCGACGAAATGCAGCACTCGTCGACGGAATGTCGGCTGCCACCATACCAAAGATTTTTCCGTGCCACCACACTTCGACGAAATTTACCATAGTTCAAAGCAAAATGAAAAAATAAGAACGAAAAACGAAAGAGGAACAGAAATATAATAAGCACTAGACAAAGGAGGTGCTTGCGAAGGCAGGCGCGTGCTTGTGTCGGATCAAAACGAAATCTAAAATAAAAATGGAAGTCAGAAAGACAAGTGTTGAGAAAGAAGCGGGAAACGGGGAAAGGAGCGGGCTTTTGTACATTTGCTTGCTTGCCGAAAATATATTTGCCTGAAATCGATTTGCTGATTGCAAATTGATTTATGCAAACATGTATGCATTTTTCTATTTCAGCTAAGTTGATAAGATTTTCTTTAAGCAATATTTTGACTTTTTTCCACAATCGTCTAAAGTCATGTAAAATGGACCTTTTTATAAAACTATTTAATTCTAATAAAATATTATATAATATACATATATAATATTATAAAACTATAAAATAAATGCATGCATAGAAGTTGAAATTATTCTTATAGAAATGAAATTATTCTTACTATATGTAATATGTACTGTTTAGGCGCGTCTGCTAACACCAGGCGCCTAAATACATGCTATGTACTGCTGCATGTGCAAAAATTTCCTTTATGCAATTTAGGAAATTTTTGCACATGCACTTCTCAACTGCGATGTAATTGAACTTTCTTAAGTTCTAATTAGATGGCACTTCAAAGTATGCTCGGCCTAGTCTAATGCATCCTCCGGACACTGCTTCCGGAGCATTTTGCGGACTCTGCATGACTTGAAACCATGCAGAGGTGGCAAACGAACTTTGCCATTGGCCACAGTGCCTACCCACCATTTTTGAACCAATAAATATTTTTTTTTATAAATACATACATGCAAATACTGGTCTCCCCTCTCACTGAGTTATTCATGTACTCAAATACAATAATAACTATTTAATTCATAAACGCATTCGCATATTTCTCAAGGTAAAGATCATTCATTCATCAATCAATCAGCAGCACATATCCCCGTAGATTCATCATCCTTAAGCGCAACTTTGTCAATCCGACACAAATATTCTAAAATGTAAAATTGAAGAAATCTCGGCCAACCAAGTGAAAAGCGGCACATATTTCTCTATATCCAGTAAAATAAGTTATCTCGAACTTTGGTAATTTTTGGAAAACACTCTATTTCTGTGTTCCATACCAATATTTCAATCATTAACCAATATTTTAAGGTGACATTTTAATAAACAGTTAATAAAAGTAAACGTTTTATGCAGGAAAAAACAATATTTTTTAAAATAAAATCAAAACTTTTAAAATCACAAACGTATGTGGTTTTATCGCAAGTTCACAAATGTAACGTGGCAACTTAGCTCGTTTTCACATTTTTCGGTCCAAAATTATAAAATTTTTGTTCATGACGCGCCACGATTTTTGTACAGGTGGGTCGAAGTACCTTGAACACCATTTGTATAAATGCAAAAAAATTATTTTATTTATTTTTTAATTTTAACAATTTCTATGCTTCAAAGCGTTTATAAATATATATTTATATATATCCACAGATTATTTTAAATTTTTTTCATCCGTAACTAAATGTTCAGTACCATAAAAAGATTCAAACACATTATAGTACAACCAATGCGATGTCCAAGCTAGTGCTACTCCGCTGTACATGTGTATATGTATGCATGCATGGATGCGTGTAAAAATGTCAATTCAAGTTTGCGTTTAACCCATTTGAGCGGACATAGTTGTTTTAGGTCCAGCTGTTAATAACACACTATTTTACAACGCTTTTTATGTTTAATCTTCGTGAAAGTTACATGTATCGTCGAAAACATGGTTACATGCAGAATTTTAAATTAATTATTACTACTCTCCATACAAAATGTACAAGTATTGCTTTATTAAATGCAAACTTATGCGAAAATCTAAATATTTCGTAAATGTAGGGTTAATATGTTCGCGCACGTGCCAATCTGGAAATCGAAAGTTTTTCTATGCATCTGCAACGTGCTTATCTTAATATATAAAAATCCCGTGTCACTGTGTTCGTTAACACTAATCTCCGAAACCACTTAACCGATTGCAATGAAATTTTGTGGGTACGTATTGTTGGTTCCAAATTAAAAGATAGGATTGGTTTGAACCCGAGAAAAAATATACTTTTTTCATCGACATTTTTTCTATGCTTCTCGCAACGTTCTTAAAGATCCCATGTCGTGTTGGTTCCAACTTAAAAGATAGATAGTTTTGAACCTGAGAAAAAAAATATTTTTTTCATCGAAATTTTTTCTATGCATCTGCAACGTGCTTATTTTTTTGTGATATTCCAATCTGGAGATCGAAAGTTTTTCTATGCATCTGCAACGTGCTTATCTTAATATATAAATATCACGTCTCACTGTGTTCGTTTACGCTAATCTCCGAAACCGCTTAACCAATTTCAATGAAATTTTGTGGGTATGTATTGTTGGTTCCAACCAGGGATGTTGCGAATGTGGAATTTAAGACATCCGCGGATGCGAATGCGGATGCGGATGTCTACCTCCCATCTAACGGTAGTTTTCAGAAATAAGAAAAATACGATATTTTAATAACTACTGAAGCTTACTCACTCAAACTTGATATGTACAATCATTTTTAAACGAAAAATAAGAATATTATAAATTTTTTGAAAATGGGCGTTGGCACGCCCACTTATGATTACATGTGTATACCTTGGGAACCGCTCCACCAATTTCTCACAAACTTGGCGCAGTTGTTGGCCTCCATAAAATTTACAAAACGGCTGAAAATTTAAAAAATCTGATAATAACCACGCCCACATCGCGCATAACGGTAATTTAGAGAAATACGTAAGCTTCGATAAATCAGTAAATACTGAAGCTAATTTAAATATTCAAAATTGATGCTTGCAATAATTCTTTCGAAAAAATACGCTTATAATAAAATGTTGGAAAATGGGCGTGACCCCGCCCATTTAAGACCACATATGTGTATCTCGGTAACCGTTCGGTCAATGTGTACCAAACTCGGTGTGATTATTGGAGTTGCCCCATAAAGGCAAAACGTTGAAAGTTATTGAAATCTGAGTAAACTTACGACCACCTTTTTATGACGCTAATTTTACCCAAAATTGATACTAACAACAATCCCTTGAAAAGAAGTAACATGATTATGGAATTTTGGAAAATGGGAGTGATGCCGCCCACATATATCTATAAAAGTTTATCTCATTATGTCTAACTGAACGTTCTATCGAAGATGTTTGGAATAGACGTAAAACCACCACTGCTTACCATGTAGCGGTAGTTTTCGGAAAGGTGAAAAAACTGTATTGAATACTTGCATGGGCGTCGCCAGGATCGAGTTTAGGGGGGGCTCGATGTATAAAAAAATCCCAAAATTTTCATCTTTACACATTCATGTTTCTGGCATGTGGGGGACGATATGTACTTGCCAATTTGTTTTACAAAAATTATTTAAAAAGCAGACGTCTCGATTGCTCAGCAAACCGGTTAATAGTTTCTGCAATTATTTCACATTGATTCTCTAAAACAAATATTTGATGTATTCTTAAAATGCATATACCTAAAGGTAAATTTTATAGTAAATTAAACTAATAATAATAATAATATATTGGCGCTTACACATATGTCAGTGTTTGGCCGAGCTTCTCCTCCGACTTGTGGCGTGCGCCTTGATATTGTCACACAAAGCGGAGGGACCTACAGTTTTACGCCGACTCCAAACGGCGATTGTATTTTTATGAGAAGCTGTTTTTCATGGCAGAAATACAATCGGAGGTTTGCCATTGCCTGCCGACGGACGACCGCTGTTAAGAAAAAACCTTTTTTCTATATTTTTTGCGATGTTGCTTTGACCAGGGTTTGAACCCGGGTCCTGCGGAGTGGAAGCGCGCACTGCTTACCACTACACCACAGCGGCCGACAACACTAACTAACAATTAAACTAACAATTTATTAAAACTAGTAGTAACCTCGAAATACCGGTGAGTGCTTAGCTCAAATTTTATTTAAAGAACTTCGTGAAAGACAACAATTAATCTTGTATTGCTA